CTTTGATAATGATGCGACCTTTCCCTTCTTAGCAAATTACTGCTGACTGCAAAACTGCAGGAATTGGCTTTTCTTATACTAAGCTTCACAAACCCTAAATACAATACCTATAGACACTTATGAACTCAAATGTTCTTCAAAAACATTCTTGCCAACAAGCTTAAATAAAGTCTAATAACAAAATAAGTACTAACTTTTAGTTACATGATCTCCATTGAGCTACACATCTCATGATAAATGAAATAAGAAGCTGTCACATCTATTTTACATTAGGTCAGGAAACACGAGAGTTTTTAAGAACATGGATTCCTGAGGGGACCCTCGAGCATTCTTTGGGAAAAATCCTTTGCCTTTCCCTCTCCACTTCTTGACAGTGCCAAACTGCCTCATATTTCTTTGATCCTCACTCTGCAGTAACCACTCAGAACAGCAGAATCAAATGGTCCTGTTTATGCATCACTGCCATCACAAAAAACCCACCAAACGTTTCAGCTCTGCTTATGTAACACCTTGATATTGCTAATCGCAACCTCATCAAATTAATTCATAAAGTGCTCAGGAACACAAAGAGACTGCTGACACCTTCTGGCCACTTTGACATTCTGTCCAGAAACAAATCAGGAGGGCTTCCAAGAAAACATCTTTCATGTTTTCCCAGCCACTCAGGATCACATGAAACAGAAGCTATGCTGATATTGCCATATGACAGTTGCTCGGTGCTACTTGGTTCCCCTTTCACCCACATTCTCTCACCCATTCTCTGTCTTTCACAGAAGCATCCAAAACAAGCAGAGATCACATATGGCTTAGTTTAGCTTTTCCTTTTAACTTTCACTCTAGGCATACTGCATCCAAGGAATTATTGCAGCTGAATCAAACAGTGCACTCAGGTTCAGTACTGAATTTATAAAGAAATATATCCATATTTTACTGAATTAAATGGTCAAACCTGCAGATTTTGCTTCTTCTTCTTCTTCTTCACTGGTTCAATTTCTGGTTCCAGCTCTCCCTTTTGGGCAACATGTTGCTTCAGCTTTTTTCTTTTTTCTGCCTTCTTTTCTTTTTTTTCCACATTTATTTTCGGCATTCTGAAATAGAATTGTTCTGTAACAGAAACCACCACACTGCAATTAGAACCTTTGTTAATATGAAATGCCACTCTCAAATACAGACAGTTATACTATAATTACACCAGTATGAGAATTATTTGTGACTACTTAGGTATGAAATCTATGTCTGGACTGAATTTTGATTCATTTTGGAGATCTTTTCATGTTTCCTTCAGGATTCTTTCATGTTCACATTACAGTTAAGCTATTGTAAAACTCAAATGTCTATTTCCTGTAGGAAATTCAGCACTTACTGCCCTCTGAGGTCCTGTTTTGGAAAATGCCTCACTGACCCTCCTGGTAGGAACCTCCCATAACTGATGCTGTACTTTCTGCAGGTCATATTGCACCATATTAAATAGTATGAATAATTGCCTACCTCAAATAACACCAATCAAACCTCTCTCATCTCAAAATACATTAATGTGACTGTCAGTCATCTCATTAAAATACATATGGGTGCAAACACACATACTCACAAGCAAAAATAAGCCTACATGGTCACTAAACAGTTTTAAACCATCGGTTCTGTTTAAACTGCAAGCTTTTCTATTTTCATATTGATTAATGCGGTAAAACAATGCTTAAAGAATTGCCTCCTTAGTTTTATCTTTAATTTTACACTGGCATAAGGGTGGAGGCAAACAGGAGGTGCAGAAAACCCATTTCTGAAACCAGGTCTAGCTGTTAAATCCACACTACTACTCCGCGAGAAAACCTGATCTAAGTGGCTCTCCACAGCTGCCCCAACACTGTTACTTTCTGTTTAACACCACAAGGGCAGCTGTTGGCTCAGTCACAAATATTTACCTTGAAACACGCTTCCCAACACAGACCCCCCCCCGGGATCTCTTCCCAACCCATTCCCACGAGAGTGATTTCCCGGCACAGCACCCCCGGTCCGCAGCAGCCCCTCGCCCACCGCCGCGCGCGTGGCCGGGCCACCCCAGCCGCCCCGCAGCGCCGGCCGCGCAGGGACACCCGTGGTGCTGCCTCTCCCCCTTCCCTGGACCCGCCGGTCCCGTGTGGGGGTCCCAAACCACCCCTACCCATCCCCACGCACCTCCCGCTCCTCCACATTCAACGAGCCCCACGCTTGGCGCCAAGGCCCGCCCCCTGCCTCCTATTGGCTACGCCGGGAGAACAGAGGGCTCCGGTTGGTTCATGGCATGCCAATCTCCGCGCCGACCAATAGGAAGCGCCGCTGCGGAGTTAAAGCGCCCACCAGGAACACACGTGCAGAGGAGCCGGCCAGCGGCGGGGGAAAGTGACGTCTTCTATGTGCGCCGGGATCCGCCTGGGGCACCGCCCCTTGGCCTGGGTCATTCCCGGAGATGGGATCATCCCATGGGATCCACCTGTGCCCTGACGGGGATCATCCCATGGGCTGACAGGGGTCATCTGTGCCCTGACAGGAGTCATCATCCCTTGGGCTGACAGGGATGCACCTGTGCCTTGACAGGGACCCCCTTGGCTTGACAGGGATCCACTGGCATCCTGCCAGGGATCTCTCAGGGCCTGACAGGGAGAATGGCCATGATCCCTCTTGGCCCACAGATCCTAAAGGCTCCGTGTCTGGGACAGCATCACCCGTGCCGTGACCAGGCCTGAGGGAATGCGTGGGAAGAGGCAAAGGGTGCCGTTTGAGGGGATGACAAAAACACCTCCGAGGACAAGGCTTCCAGGAAGCAAATTGGCTTCCATGTTTTCATTTTCTATAAATAAATACCGCGTGCACAAACATCTCTATCTCCCCTTGTTAATTTGAGGACCAGAATACAGTGTACAAACACACACGTAGATGATGCAATTTTTTTCACGACAACCCGAAACACAGTTTTTGTTTCCCTTTGCTTGGATCCCAGTGGCTGATGAAATTCTGGCTGGGGTAGCAGGTGCCCAACAGCTTCCCTGTGGACCAGATGCATCCCCTCACACCTCTACCTCCTTCTCCTGTCCAAAACTTCTGCCATCTGCCCCTTCCCCCTTCTCCCCATCCTGTCCCCCATCCATCGCTGCTGGGCTCGGCCGAGCCTCTTTTATATACAAAAATGTATATAAAAGGTTGCAATGTGCAAGGGCTGAGTTACGGTGTTAGAGCACACGAGATAATCAGTAGGTGGTGGTACCTAAAATTAAAGTTGTAATTTAAGCTTTTGCTCCAATGTGAATAAGGAAAGCATGTCATCTATGTTTGGACTCCCTAAAAATAAAGACCATTTTATTGCATATCCTATTGTGACATCCTGTGGTTAAACACAGTACTACAGACGCTGTAAAATCACAATTTTGGCTGCACGATTGCATAAAACTAGATTAAATGGAATGAACAGTGGTAACTCATACCTACATTACATATTCAGTTTGGCCAATTAGCGGTGATCTCCAAAAATTTCTCCAGGAGGAGAAAGGACATTGAGCCAAACATTAATATGGGATAGCACTGATATTTGTTCTGTGCTGGCCAGAAATTACTTCTCACCTTTCTTATGAAAGGCCTACAGCTCAAGGTGTTGATTGCTGACATGCCATCCCTGTGAAGGGCCATAAATCCCCATTTCCTCCTTAGGCAGCCTTTGTACTCCAAGAATTAAACCTGGTCAAAGAGAAATAAGAGGCACAACAGTCTTTGCTCAGCTGCAGTGCCCCTCAAGGTTGCACAAAGCACAGGTATTAACTGCACTTACGCTCACATCCTTACAGTATCATCAAAAGATTATTCTTCCCAGGTCAAGGAGCTCAGCACCCTCTGCTCTGCCAACTGCTCATCCTCCCACCTCAGCAGAGAAGCCTTGGACACTCACAGCTGCAGGGGACTGAAGGGACTGCAATTGCCCTCCAGTTAGTCCTAAGCCAACACTCCAGCCCAGCAGCCCCAGCGTGCAGAGGAATGGCTCCAGCCACACATGAAATTGAGGTCTTGACCCCCTGACATCAGTAAGCCTTGGCATTTTTCTCACAATTAGTTGGATGAGGGGTCTACTTAGATCCCAGCTGGGGGATTAGCATTGTTCATTAACAGCACATTTCCATTTCATCAGCCTACAATATTTCAGGCCTCAAGCAAAGCAGCTGGATGGTCATGCAGTTTTAAAGAGCCACGACAGCTGATCAGGGTAATAGATGGAGCATTATCTGTTATGACTTCATTTGTTTAAGCTTTTCAGAAAGACAGCAAGAGTAGCCTCCCCAGACAGTGCTGCATTTTTGCCTCATTCTCATTACATGAGACACAGTCAGTGTTACTTTCTCTGTCTTCCTTCCCCCACCCCAGCTGCAAAATACACCCTGTCAAATGTAGATTTCTGTCTAAGGGGCAACAAATGATAAAGAATTATACTGCACATGCCTCTGTGATCAGCAGCTTTCAGTGAGTGAATTGTTAAGGTAGGGCCCAGAAAAACTAGGCATGGATGATAAATCAAGTACTTCTACTGACATTCAGAAACCAAAAGGCAGCTTATATAGAACTTGCTTAATGTTGATGTTGTTTATCACACAGAACACTGCACTGTGTGCTAGATCACTTCCAAAGGGATTGAGACATATGAGAGCAGCTTGTATTTCAGATTTTCATTTTAGGGCACTCATAGTTCAGACTTTGCATGACCTAAGCAAAGCTGGCTGTGTTTCATACTAATTGTAATCTTCTTTCTACCACCATTCCCCAGTTTCCTCCACCAAATATTTTTCATAGTATTAAAGTTCTTATTCCAAACATAGGAACAAATAAAGTTGGCTTGGAAAGTTTATTGAATACACAAAACATGATACAAAAATAAAGTTAAATGCATAGAAATTTAAAGAGATAGAGAAAATATAAAGTTAAGACAGAGGTTTGATCCAGATATGAAGAGCCTCTACTACCTGCACCTGAAAGACATAAGAATGCACTGTAAGGGTTACACAACCAGAACTTTCATTCACAAGGAGATATAACATGCCAGGGAAGAGCTTGGGCCATTGTTTTCATTCAGGTGTTTGCTGTGCTTTCCTCAGCACTCTGATGACAAACCATTTTTCCAGAACTTGGCCAAGCCTCACTGAGCAGCTGGGAGACCAACCTGCAGTTACAACAATTTGATGTCCTGATGCTTTTGTCTATTTAACTACTTTAATCACTCAGTATAGAGAAGCAGAGATTTACTTGTGCTGCCAGAACCCCTCTGCTGTATTCCCAACTCTAGAGCAGCTGGAGGTATGATATGACAGTGGCACTGCTACACCATGTTAACACCAGCCTATTTTTAAGCAATATTTGTCTTTTCCCCTTCTACAGCTCATACCTGTTGTGCTGAAGATTCCCATTAGATGGCACTCCAATTGCTCCCGGGGATTTGAGGGCAGTGTGAGAGGCTCTCATCAGAGCTGCATATCTACAAACAAACACAACCAGGCTCAGTACCTATGCACTCTGCCTGTGGCTTCACTCTTTCATCCGACTTATTCAACTGCATCTGTCACACAAGTCTCACAGTCCTATTGCACAGAACAATGATGGTACATCTGCCTGCAAGAGACAGATTTTTATTACAGTTAACTTTAAACTTGGCTTCATAGTGTATTGATTATTTTTGGTTACTTCGAGGTGCTGGGCATAGATTTAGGATTCTGCTAATTTGATCCAAAGGGAGTTTGAGTTGGCCAGTGCCTGTTCTCAGTCAGAAGAGACTGATACAGGTAAGCTTGGAAGAATTTAGGAAAGCATTTGACAAACTTTTCCCTTTGCTCACAGGCTTTCAGAAATTAAGCCAGAGATACCAAGAGGAAATTGTGGCTATTTTATTGATATGAGCGGTAGTTTAGACAATTTCCTATTTGTCCAAGCTCCCCACCAACCTGATACCAGCTCTGAAATCTCAGCTTGAGCTGAAGTACCCTAAGTACAGCTTACCCTGCCTTGGAGGTGGGGCGGCTACTCCCTTTGCAGTCGTGATCCAGGGGATGCCGATGTTTTATGCAGAAGTTGCCACCACACTGTTCACAAAGCACCTTCATCATCTCTTTCCTTTTGCAGCCTGGCTTTAAGCACTTGTTTGTGAAGATCTAAATAAGAGAGGAAAGGAAGGTGGCAACGTTTGCTTTCTGTGAGCAGCTTCCCAAGCAACAACCAAGCTGAAGGGCAAATGTTCAAGCGCCCTTAGATTTAGGATAAAACAGAGCAAGTTTCTACACATTCTGCTGTCAGAAGTCCTAACTTCACAAGCATTAGGAAGGCAGTTTAGACTACAACAGTAGTTTCCTTACCCTCTTTTGCTGTGCTGGATTGTATTTGCAGTCCTTATCCATGTGGGCTCCAACCACAACATCTGGTATTTCCCCCTTCTGCACTGGGATGGGGGTGTTACAGAGTGGACACACGGGGACCTGCACATTCTAAGAACACACAACACAGTTTAGAATCACAGAAGCATTTTGGTTGGAAAGGATCTTTAAGATAATCAGGTCCAACTCAATTTTTCTCTCCTTCCCTTGCCCAAGGGTGACAGAAGTGTATTCACAGGTGTTTCATGTTCTCATTCACTAATGCTTTTAAAGATGCACTTCCCAACAGTAACTGCAAATCACTCCCCAAAAAACAGACAGACCTGCTTTGCAAATCAATTTATAGCAACATATTTGGTAAGTCGACTTTAAATATCCCTCTGGGTTTTCTAGAATTACAGTCTTTGAACACGTCAAAGCCCAGTTATGGGCTAGAGATCAGGTCTGGCCTCACTATTCTATTCTGTAGTTTCATGTCTGCTGTCCTTCAACTTAAAGAACTTGGACTGCAGAAGGTTTTAGGCCACAATATATTACTTAAAATATAAAGCAGTCCTCTCTGGGAAGCTGCAGTGTAAATGAAAGAAAACAGAATCTAGCAGTACTAACCTCTGAAATGTCATGTTTCTATATATCTGAAATTCAGATGTGTCATGAACTTGCACCTTGTGGCTCTCCCATCTGCTTTTATTGAAACCACAGGTCAAGTTTTAGAGCAGCCTGTATAAATGACTTAGCAATTCCACAGGGTGAATTTCTGACTCACATTCAGGAACTTACCTTCTTGTAGGCAGAGCTGCACTTGTGGTCATCGTAACGGATGTGATCTTTACAGAAGACCTCCCCACATGCATCACATTTCAGAGGAAGAAAATCTGGGAGAAGAATAAAAAAAGGAAACAGATTGTCAAGGAGCAGAGCTAACAGCTCTAAGGGTACTCACAAAGCACTACAAATAAATTCTAAAGCAACTAATTTTTGTCTAGTCACACTCCAATTATGCTGAGAGAGAGCATGCCATTCTTTATAAATATTCAAAGTAAAAAAGCAAGACTGATGAGTTTTCCTTGGTTTTATCCACAGCATTAGATGAGCACAGGGCACAAATACCTCAGGAGCTCTCTGAACACAGAAATTTTAGTGAGGCCCTAGTCGAGAGCTTGGAATTGAAGTACAAATCAAAAGCCCACACCCAAAAGTCTTTTTATTCTTAAAAAAAAAAAAAATCCCTTAATCTTTTTATTCTTTAAAAACCATCCTTTAACAGTTTAACTTGTAAAAGAACAAAACACACCGGGCTCTGCTATCACTCTTTCCCCGGACCTACTGAAGGGGGACTCCAGCAGCAGCACTGGCATGTGCCGCTCCCCACAGCCTCGGGGTACAGGGGCAGCCCCCCAGGACACAGGTTATCCCACCCTGACGAGCCCTCCCGGAGGATGCAGCCCCGGGGGCCGGTCCCCGTTGGCGGCGGCCGCGCTTACCCAGCTGTTTGCAGGCGCGCTCCGAGCAGTGCTCGCCCAGCCAGGGGAGCTCCATAGCGCGGCGGGACCCTCGCGGGGGGACACAGACCCGAGCAGGAGCAGGAACACAATGCCAGCCCCGGCACCGCCGCCCCGCGCCTTTATCGCCCGTCCCGCTGACTCAGCGCCCCTCCGTGCTGAGTCACGCTCCCGCCGCCCGCCCGCCGGCAATGACGTCACGCCCGCCCGAGCCAATGGCGCGCCCCGACCGTGCGCATGCCTGGCGGGTGGCCAATGGGCGGCCGGAGAGGTGTGCTGAGTCAT